AATTGGTTCTTCGTTCACCAAATTCCTAGGTAGCCAGATTCAGTTGCTGTACTTCTGTGCTGAACTTTGTTTAACCTGCTCTGAGACTGCCTCTAGACCCAGGTTAGAGATAAACGTAGAATGCAAACAAAAACAAAGCCTCTGGCACCTTGAAATGGGAGATGGCCATTCCTTTCTCTTGCACCAATTTAGTCTAAAGCAGTTGTAGTTGATCCCTTCAGATGGCAAGCTGATTAATATCACATATTTCCAAAGGCACAGTTTGTCACAATAGATAAAATCAGTTTTACTCTTAGACTTGATAAAATCTAAAAAAGCTTTAGTCTAAGAGATGCTTTTGCTCTACAAAAGTAAATGGAATAACCTGTGTTACCAAATAGGGATAGGAAAGCAAAGAATTCCTGGCCAGGAATTCAGTCTTAAAACCTAAAAAGAAAGAAATATGTGGCAATAAAATATTGGCTGTTAAGCAGAATTAATGCAATTTTTTTTTCCCTCTTTTATTTTTGTTTATGCATAAATAGTAATTATATAACCATCAACTCACACTCATAAAGAAAAGCTGATATTCTTTGCTTACCTGGCATGGCAGGTAAAATGTGGCATTTTGAGGAATGTAGGCCATTTTTAAATAGAAAAGCTAAAACCTAAACACATACCTCACTTTCCAGAGATTTTTCTACAACCTACTTTATTTCAGTTTGCACAACTAATGGAGGACCAGTGAATAAAAATTACTCTGGTTTTGATTAATTTATCCCAGTCGGTCTTAAAAAAGCAGGCAGCCTCTTAGAGTGTCTTATTTTGTTTGTCATTTTGGGATTATTTGCCAAAAGACTTAAGCATTTGCACTTGCAGATAAAATTGCCTCACTCATAAGGAATTCCAGAGGGGGAGTTTTGCTCCTGTGCAAAAAAGTCTGCTGAGATACTGAAATATCCTTTGATTCTGGTATATTAGCTTTCATAGCGTGAATTTAGTCCTATGGCACTCTGTTTGCCTTTGAATTAACCATAGAAGTTTCCTGTAACCTTTAACCACTAGCAGCGTTACAGTTTTGTGATTTCCCAAACATCTGCTAGGGACTTTGAAACCACCATTTTAATTTTCATATGACCTAAGCTGCAATTTAACTCAGGTCTCTGAAGATGAAAGCCTAGGATGCCTCTACAGAGAGTAGAATGCTTTCCAATGCAATTCTCAGCTTGTGGATCTGGGAGCAGCTGGCCTGCTTTCCCCTTTGGGTCAGGAGGGCTTGTGGTTTCCAGCTCCCTGTCAGAGATGCGAGGAAACCCTATTTCTCTATTGTTTAACACCCACTCCTTGAGGCTTAGGCCATTAGACTGTATCCATCTGTCTGGAAAACCTGGAAAGATCTCTGACTGTTTTTTTCAGCTAACTGTTTGAAGTATTAAGATGTTTGGGAACTAGAAATAAATTACCCATGAAAGCAAAAGGACTAAACTAATTCCTTTCTTGTTTATTTTGTTGTGGGAAATGTCATAACTTCTCTAAATCCTAACAAGGCCTTTGAGTCCATTTTTAAAAAGTTTTGTGGTATGGAAGACAAGTTTTTTAAAATGGTACCAACAAAAAAAGATACTTTAGGTTTAAGATAGTTACGCTTATGGATTTCTAAGGAGTCTTCTAATGCCAAAACTAAGTGCGTTGATATCAGTGACATTTTCAACAGAAAGTTGTCTCCAAGTCCAGCATAAACTCTTGGACAATGAGAATTTAAGAACTGATACTCATCCTGGATGGAGGATACACAGAATTAATTCTGTTCTCTGCGTGATCCAGAGCTTCCCACAACCCAAGTCGGTGACACAGCCTCTGGACTTTTCAAATGAGACTCTCAGTCTTTTTTTACTGAACTCTTTGGAAAGAGGGCTTTTTTTTTATGTGGAAAAATATAGAACATAAAACCTCAAATATTTTCATCAGACAGAACTTGCATTCCTTGGCCAGTCCCAGCTGGAAGTTATTGTCAAGGTTGTGTTCATCAAAGGACTCAAGCAGAAGGCAAAGTCTTATTCTGGTATTTCTGTAGCACCTGTACAGCAGAGCCCTGTTCCATGCCTCTGGCTCTTTGGTCTGACATATGACTCCTCAGAAATACACAAGTAAATAATATTCAGTGTTAATCTCACAAGTAGTCCCTTTAGGGCCATTGCTAATATGCTGCACTTAAAGTTAGGCATGTGCTCAATTATGAAGTTATTACTGATTCAGAGGCCTTCTAGGCTGAAAATTTGATTAAGGAGTATTTCAGCTTGAGAAAAGCCCCCAAATTAAATGTTGTTTTCTTTTTTCATGTAAGGCTCAGACATATAAAATAGTTTTGGAAATATTCCTTCCAGTTTTAATAAGCTCATGCAAACTATAACATTGGAAATGTCTTCAAATGAAGTTTATAAATGAGTATACTTTCCAGATTTCAAAGGAAAAAGAGAAGTCTGCAGACAGTGTGTAAGAAATTCAAGGTTTTCTTCCAAGCATTTCATTTTTCTTAGTCTAGAGTTTCTTAATTTAAAATTTAATTAGTACTTTATTTTTTAAACCATCTGGGCATTAATGAAACACTGCTGACTTAACCTTTCTGAACTCTCTCTATCATGAAAGTCACCCCAAATACTACTCAGGTGTCCCACACAAAACACATTCATGATGTAAGTCGTGATAGAAGTAACACTTTGAGTGGAAGCTACTCAAAAATCCTGTGAAATGTTACAGTAATTCAGTGCCAAAGTCAGCATAGGCATGAACAAACCTTGTTATTGAAGTAAAAAGAGTTGCATCCGTGTGTAGTGAAGGGATTGTTGCCCCTCGACTGAGCCCATTTGAGATTCACCACCTTGGTGGGATTTCAGTCCACTAGTGAAATAGGTGAAATAGGTGCAGGGGAGATTTTTGTGTTGGACACCTTGTTGAAAACAGCTCTGCACAAGTTCACACCAGGTGTTGGTGCTTGACCAGGTGTTACACAGCTGGTCTGGTGGGGTGATGATAAGAGGTGGAGTTGGAAGGATAACACAACCCAATTTTTGGCCCTTCAGATATGTTAATTGACTAGTTCTGGATTCTCCATAAGCCATCAGGGGAGAGATGTATGTACTGTCAGAGGCTTTGGGTGAGCTGTTCCATGGTCTGTCTCTACTCATGAACTCTGCTGGGAAAACAGACGGAGGACATTGCTGTTGTATGTAGATAAATAGGCACCCTAAAACTGCACGGTGAAAGTACTTTTTTCACCTTCTATGTGCAGCATTCTTCAGAATTTTCAGTACCATCTATTCCCTTCCAGAAATGAATTCATTTTCTCTATAACTCTGACAGCATAATTAATATTTAAACCAATGAAATATGCAACTAAATTTTAACTTTATAAAGGTTTGAGGAAGATAATCCAAAATCTTAATGAAAGCAGGTCTTTGTAAACAAGTCCCCTCTTTGCCCAGAGGACACAATGTATTATATATTAGCAGGTATTTATAAAATTGGTCTTGGCCCAGACTTAGACACATAGGCATTTTCTTAATCTTAATGAGCTCTGTAATACGCTTACAGGTAAATGCATGTTTAAAAACATTGTTGGAAGAAAAAAGAAGAATGCTGAGACAGATCAAGGTGTTGATTGGACTGAAAAAAATAACCAAGGAGGGGAAATATAGTTAGTTTTCACCTGGAACCGTTCCCTGTTCTGGTTCACCACTAACTCTACTAGTGCAGTGGAAAAGGTGATGTAGTGTAGTTCTAGGAGAAACTGGCCAGGATGGAGGGCTGCTTTATCCTCTTAGCAAAGTGAGTATGGAAGCCCAACTCTGAAATCATTCCTTCTATTTCTTCTCCATTGTAGATATGATTAGGACTTTTCACCTTTTTTATTTCTCCTCAAGCTGTTTATTTAAGCTATGCATACTAATGCTGGTAGGGAGGTACATCTTGCTTGTCATACAAAATGTTGACTTTCCATTGAAAGAAATCAGTCACATTCAGAAACACAGCATTTTCATCTGGAAAACAAAACTTTTCTATTTCAAGTTTGCTTGTTTTTTTTGACAGAAAGTCAACATTTTCCACAGAAAACTAGTATTCTTTGTTGCTTTTTTTGATGCTAAAAGCAGTTTCAGCAGCTCATATTATATCTGCATCAGCACAGTTACTATATTCTGATTTATCATCAAAGTAGCAATGATAAAGAAGACATTCCATACACATGACTAAGTAATGCCACTTGGATCTCTGGTTACTTCAATCTTTCACAAACCACTATATAGACACTGAAATTAGTTAAGTGTTATCTTTTCAGATGCTAAATTCAGCAAGTCAAACATTAGGAATTACTAATGAAGGCAATCAAGCCAAAGTAGTGAACATATATTGTCACTGTATAACTCCATAATTTGCACTTTGAGCATATAGTATAGTTCTGTTTCTCATATTAGAAAGGAGATGGTAGACCTGGCAAAGTTTCAGAGAAGGAAACAAGAATGACTGAAAGTATGAAATGGCTTTCGTGCGAAGAAAAACTGAATCATATCAGACTCTTCAGTGTGGAAAAGAAGCCCTATAAGAGGATAAACCAGTAATCTAGTAGATCCACAGAAGATAACGCTTATGGGGATTAATAATGACGTAAAAATTGTTTCTAGTTCAAGATGATTCTGGGCTGAAACTGGTTGGAGGATGAGGCAGTATTCTTGGGAAGCACCATACGTGCTTGGCTTTCTTAAGACACCTTGCTAGCAGATGCTGGCATTAGCAGCTAATGGAGGCAGGATACTGTACTAGAGGTACCGTGTCATCTAGTACTTGTGCTCTTACGTGCATGAATATTCATACAGTCCTATGTACTTCTTCAGTCTGTGATGTATTATGCACCTCCTGAAGAGCTTTCATATCTAACAACTGTTGGCCATAACGGACATCACTGTCATCATAGGAACAGGCTTTTCTCACTTGAATTAGAAATAAGAGCAGCATGGTTTACTTTGTAGGTAAATGCATCTCGCCAAGAAACCAAGCTGATGGAAGAATGTGACCAGCTCATTGAAATAATACAACAGAGACGACAAATAATTGGAACCAAAATCAAGGAAGGAAAGGTAACAGCTTTTCTTCTTTATATCACAGAAACAACATTACTTATTTATGCTTACAGGTTTTTGACTTCAGGTACTTAAAAATTTGTAAGTCTCTCTCTGTAATCCTGAGCCATTATTTTTTTATCTAAAGAGGAAGGAAATCAGCTAAGGTTAGTATGTCAGACTTAAACACTTTATTTAGTATTTCTCTTCCTACACACGATTATAATTTTTAAGGATAAACATTGAAATGATACCACTGTCGGTAAATAATAATATTATGATGACTAATTAATGCTTCCTTCCCTCTGCTATATGCCTAACAGCCTATCTCCAAAATATTCACTTTCACAAAGTGCCATGGTACTTGCTACACATTTCTAATTACTGAGTTATGATGACTATTCATGGCAAACATACCGAGCAACATTCAAGTTTCAACATATTGAGCTAGCTACCTGTTAACTCAGAACCACATTAGAGTCGAATTAACATTCTTATTTGCTTGGTACATGGTGTTTACTCTTTAACTGCTAAACTAACCAAGTCAAATATAAACTCTTCTTGTGTGGGAAAGACTCAGGAAAGGAACAAAGTCAAGAGCAGGTTAAATGGTTCATTCAGCTGTCAAGCTATTCCAATTAACTTGAAATGAAAAGCCTGTAGGCAAGGGCTGACTTAAACATGTTTGAAACTGTGGGTCCTGTACATTGTGTGACAGAACCTGAATTTCTCCATGCTGTTAACAAAATATAATTCCCTTCTACATGGAAATGATGGCCTTTTGAATTATTGTTTCAACTGTGTTCCCCTATGTATTGAGACCAGCTGTGCATTCAATGAAGTAGAAGTCTTTCCCTTATTTTGGATTTATGCTACATTAGTTACTTTTTAAAAATTGATTGCTTGTGAACATGTATTCTGATGTCAAATGTATGTGAGTATTGCTGATATCAGAATATATCCCCATTCTTTGTTCTACTTTGTTTAATCAAAAAGTGGTACCAACGGAAGGCCAGTTTAGGTCTGGAATGCATTTCCTCAGAATGCTGTAGATGCTGAAAGATTCATGGACTCAAGAGTCTTGTGGACTAACTCACGAAACAAAAACAAACTGAAGAAAAATCAGAGAACGAAAAGAGCAATAACAATAACAAAACTGCAAAATTAAATGCTGCAATGCCACTTCAGGCTCAGGACATCCATGAGCCACAGATTGCTGTTGGCTGAGTCAGTCCTCTGAGAACGTGTTATTTCCTAGACCGTGCCTCCACTACTGGCCTGTTTAAACTAGATGCTGAGCTAGATGGACAATTAAGATTAGTTCTTAATCTGCTCTTAACGTGAGAATCAGGCTAGTCTTTTCTGAGCAATTAGTATATAGCATAACAGTCATGAAACTTTGTTAAGGATTACAGTGTCCAGGAAGCTCTCTAATGGCCAGAAAATCTGAAAAACCACAGGAAATTCAGCTCCAGGTATCTTCTTTTAAAGCAGGCAGTGACTTCTCTCTGTAGTCTTTCTGGAAGGCAAAGAATGGCAGATTTTTTCTAGGAAACGATAGTGAAGGCTACAGAGATGGAAATACTCAAGTATAGTTCTAGCTAAGACTGCATGGCTGCACATTCAGACATACCAGTCTTAAAATGGTGTGCAGCTCCTTCCTTAATTTCACTTATCACCTAAAACCTGTGAAGCCCAACTGAGCACTTAGCAGGAAGACCACTTAAATTGACAAGATATTTTAGTGCTGAAGTCATTACTGCCACTATGGACAGAGGGAGGGGACACTCTTCCTTTAGATGTTTATGGTCAGTTGTCTTTCTAAATTTTAAATAAAAATCAAGTAAACAAAAAAAACTTGTTGATATGTAGACCTTGAAACTCATGGCATGTCCTCTAAATGCTAAAAATTCACAAGGTAACATTTGTATCAGTTCATGCTTTTTTTTTTTTTTTTTTTTTTTTTTTTTTAATACTTAAATGAAGAGGTGACCTATTACTGCAGTGTATCTTTCTCTGGTTAGACTGGTGTAGCCAAATTGTTATTTCTGCTTAAATGCACAATTAGAAAAAGTATTTTCTTATCCTTGGAACAACCAGTTGAACCATTTCCATTCCCAATATCTATCTCCATCTCCCATTGTGTTTATGAAAAGCTGACATCTAAATACTGTTCTCTTATTCAGATAAGTAATTGTGAAAGTACTTCAATTATTGAGTCTTCCTCAGTGTAACTGTACATCTAGATGCATAACAGTCTAAACATAAATCAACAATAGAAAAGCTACCAACACCAGCCATATCAACAAAGCGTAACCAGTAAATCATAAATCAGTGGAAGAGATTCTCTGCCTCTGCTCAGCACTTTAATAGACCCCATCTAGTTAGTGTATCCAGGTTTGGACTCCCAACACAGAAGGGCATTGGAAGAAACTGGAGGAAACTCAGGGAAAGGCTTCCAAGGCATTGGGTGCCTGAACACTTGAACTCAGAGGAGAAAGCCTGATCAGATCAGTAGCAATCTCAAAATCTGTATGCTTTTCCTGCATTTTTATCTTTATTTCTTCTACCCTTAAAAGAAACACCAATGTTACTGAACACAAAATGTTTAGACAGTGATTTCTTTTTGAAAGTTTTCCAAAAGATGTTTTTTTTCCTGTAGACTTTAATTGTCAAATAGGAGCACTAAGATACATTTATCTCTGCTTAGAAAGACATAACTACTGTCAAATTATATCTGAAATTACACTCAACAGCTTCAAAGTTTATGCCATAATTCCCAAGATTTAGAACTCTGTCATGATTATAAGCTTGCACTTTTTTTGCTAATCCACATACTTCTTAGTTTCCTCATTTTTCTGGTAACTGAGTCCTAATGCGTTTCTAAACTTCAGATTATTTCATTTCCTTCCTTTTTCTTACTCCTGTTCAAACTATGAAGTAGCAGCAATCCTGGTGTGATAACAACGGGAAGGACTCCCAGATCTTTCAGGAACTATTAGTTTTGTTAGCCAACATTGTCTTTAAATGGGGAATTGACTGTGCCCCTCCCTAACCTTTCAGCTAGTGATTACAGTCACATCTACTGTGTTTATCTCCAGCACATATGTTTTCAATAGTAATAATCATCTCTTCAGTACTACTGTGCTTTTGTCCTGTTAAAAATATCCCCCCAAAACCACCTTGTTTGACTAAAAGCTTGTCATGAAAATGGCTGGCATGTATTGTTGGTAGAAATTAACAGTTTTTTTTTCTCAAATTTTCTTTTCGGATGATTTTTTATGAAATTTACCTCAGTAATATGGAAAAAAGTATGCATTCTGTAAGCTGCCATTGAGACTGATCATTTCAGGGAAATGGTTATCTAAATAGCCTTTAGTTATCATGTAATCAGAAAGTACCAGGAAATGACGTTTCTTCTGTTGGAAGGTAAGCCAGCTGTGCTTGTTTTGGCTCTCCTCTGTTGTTTTCCATGTGGAAAATTTTCAGGCATGAAGGCTGTGCCTGTCCCCTGGTTAAAAATGTTTTGAGGCTTGTGGAAGGCAGTCACCATCAAACTGGTGTGAAAGAAGCTCTTGTCAGGGAGGCCATTTGTCTTGAGTCCCCCTTTCCACGTCAGTTCTGCCTCAGAAGTGCAAATGTAATAGTGATTTGTGACCTTAGAGAAGTGACTGCTTTCTTATGTTTCTGCACAAGGTGGTGAGGTTGAGAAAACTGGCTCAGCAGATTGCAAACTGCAAACAGTGCATTGAGCGCTCGACATCCCTCATCTCTCAGGCTGAGCAGTCGCTGAAGGAGAACGATCACGCTCGCTTCCTGCAAACTGCTAAAAACATCACCGAAAGGTAAATATGTTCCTCTCAATAAACAAGAGAACCTCAGTTTCAGGCAGTTAGGCTGCTGTGTGGCTTTGTCCCGCCGCTGTGATAATGTGGTCAAAGAAGGAAGGATAAGCTGCTGCATTCCTCAGTAACACCACTTTGTGCTGTACCAGACGAGGAATCCTTGCTGTAATGCTAAATCAAAGCATCCCTTTGAAAAGAGAAGTAGTCAAGAAAGGGAGTGAATTAAGTATTAGAACAGTTAGAGAAATTCATAGATTCAGAAAGAAATAAGGGAGCAAGTGTGTTCTCTTGGAGAAATTTGATGTAGACTTACAAAACAGCAAGGAACAAGGTAACAAAACTAGGAATTGGGCTTGATGACCCTTGTGGGTCCCTTCCAACTCAGGATATTATATTATTTTCTGATTCTGTGAAAAGGTGTAGCTTTGAGAACACGTGATGTACATCTCAGGTAGCCCACTCAAATAGTTGAGGGTTCAACAGCATGAATGTCTGGAAGTTATGGAGGCTATTGTTCTGGGTTCCTAGGTGCAGGGAATTTCTGCTACTTCTAGCATCCTTGTTCTTTTTCAGATATATCAGAGACAAGAGAATTAGTGTTTTCAGGAACCTGTCCTGTCAGAAAATTCAGTCTGGTTTCAGGGCAAATGCTGCGAAAGCTAAAACATTCCCACTGAATGTCAACAGTAATTTCTGATGAAATTCACTTGGAATTATCTGCTGTTTAGCCATTAGCAAGAGAAACAAAAGAAGGAGCATGTACCTGTGACAATGATTAAGAAAACTATAATAAAGCATCTTAATTCATTCAGCTTTTTTATTTTGCTCTTAAAAAAAAAAATATCTTGAGTTCACATTGTACCTTCACAACGTCCAGCCAATTTTGACCTAGTGCAGATCATGAAATTCCTTGTTTTTAAGCCAGTCACTTACTCTAGAGCACTGTATGCAGATTCCTAGAATATCTATTTTCACCAAAGCTGTTTTAATCAATTTATATACAAACCAGAAACACTGGGTTTTTCATTACAAGTTCATAGAATAGAAACTCTGCTGAGAAGGGCAAGGCAAGACTGTGGATTCAATTTGGTCTGTCAGACTTGGACCCTATTTTGTATTCTATCACTAAGATATATTGTGCTACTGATTTTTCCTGGGTGAAGCTGATAAAAAAAAAACTACCACAGAATATACATGAGTGCTGTGAGGAAAATGCCGAAGGAGAGAGTAGGGCCTTTATTCAGTATTCAGTGGAATAAGCAGGAGGAAGATAAAAAACTTTCTAACTATCAGACTACCAGAGGACATTCAGAAAAGCTCCGTTTTGAACTTGTTGAAATGAACACTTGCATCATAAATAGAGAGACAGGAGTGATGCTTAGAGAACAGAAATGAGACCAGCTGATGTACGTGTCCAATCAGATCTAGTTCTTGGCTATCACAGATTGCTTATCTGTAATGAGATGGCTGTTAATCATTTAAAGCAATGAATAAAAACAGGGGGAAAAACAGCAGGTGCTTGCAGACAAATTACAAATAGAAAAAGAGTAAAAAAAAAAAAAAAAAAAAAGTTATTTTTCCCAAGTAAGTCTCTTAGTTCATATGTGGTGAGTAATGTTTTATTTGCACTCAGACTACTCTCACCAGGGTCCTGAACTCCTGGAAATAGTCTTCTGAAACTATGCTCGTTACATTTCTTCATATATTTCAAAGTAATTGTAGTATAATATTCTCTTTTGTAAGCACAACAGGTAACTATGTATAGCAGAGACATTACACACACTACAATGATTTATATAATGGATTATTTACAATGGGTGAACTGAATTTATCCAAGAAAACCCCTCTCCAACCAAGTACAGTGTCAGATGAAATAAGCAGAAAGTACAAGAGGAAATTCATTCCTCTGAACCTAAAATGATCTTTGAAACGGTGAACCATCAAAAACTGACTTTAACACACTTAATCACAGTGCATTCTCTGTATTGTCCCGAAAGAGCTTCATGATAAGGTCTTCTTCAGAGAAACTTTTCACTTTACATACCTGCTTGCTGGTTTCTTAGTAAGGTTATTGCTGATTTTTTGGAGGTGTGAGTCCAGCTGAGTCTGCCCTGCAAGAAATGTATGGCTCTGCAAGAAGCATATGTCTTGTTTCTCTACTAGATCTAAAAGCACAACAGCACAACTGCAACTGCAGGTGAACTGCTTGGGAGTGAGAGGGACAGGGAAGAAAAAACATCAGTTTCATAGAGAAACAGTGCTGAAAACTTCATGGCAAGAATTATTGGCTAGGATATCTCAGATCAGTCTTTGAAAGTCATCTGGAAGACAATAAGAAGCGCAGCTCAGATTTTGACTTTTCCAACTGAATTCTTAAAGTACTTGAAAATGGATTTCTAAGCAGGTGTTGGCTTGCAGCCTTTTCAGTCTCATCTACAGTGAAATGCTCCAATTTGCAAATCTGTTAATTGAAGAAATCAAAACATTTTGACCTGATACCTTGTGACTGACAGATAAGTGACATATATTGTACTTGTGGTTTTGTGTTCACCTCCAAACCAAAACAATTTTCTGTTGTGTAACACAAGGCTTAATAACCTTGCGGAATTCTCTCCTGAATTTTCTGTAAGCACTTCCAGTATCCAGCTATGCAGTAACAAATGTTTTGAGATGGCAAGTTGGAGGATCCAGAAAGTAGATCCTGTTGGCAGCTTTCTTCTGAAAGTTCATTTTTTAATGTTCTTGCTGGTGGACAAACAAAAAGTGAATGTAGCTCCTGAAATGAGGTAGGCAAGGAAACCCTTTAGTTCGAAGGAAGTGCGCACACATGCTTTGCAGGGAAAAGCTTTTCAAAATAAACTGTGCTGACATCTATTGGTTTTATCTTCCTCTGTGCTTCTTGAATTTAACAGCAGTCTGCTGAGGAGGTGTGGTGGTCTGCAGCAAGCCCTTGAGACAGCACTGTGAAGGAATGCCTGTAGCAAGGAACTGCCAGGAAAAAAGGGGGTTGGGAGAGATGCAGCGTATGTCAGAATCGCTTAGAACACAGATAAAAATTGTGCTAATGCTACTTTGGTTCAGAGGTGACTGGAAGGAACAGTTAGAAGTATATTGTTGCTCAGTCTGTATTTTATTAAAAACTTATCTAACACTGCACATTAGACAAAAGCTAAGTACCAAGAATTTTTCCTGGAGACTTTTCTTCCAAAAGTGGCAGGAGAAACTCCTGACAGCCAGTATAAATAAAATACTCATAAAATATTTGTCAAGCTTTTGGAGAATTCATAGTGATCGTGATGATTAGATCCTACTTTGTTGTAGAAGCTATTGTGTCTTTGAATGTGCTAAAAGACCTTTTCTTTTCATTATAGGGTTTCCATGGCAACTGCATCCTCCCAGGTTCTAATTCCTGAAATTAATCTCAACGATACTTTTGATACTTTCGCACTTGATTTTACCAGGGAGAAGAAATTGTTGGAATGCCTTGATTATCTTACAGGTAATTTTCTTCTCAATATTCTAATGTATTTCTCATAAAACAGTAGTGATAGGATTTTCTTCATTGCTCTCCCATTTAAACCTTTATATTTTACCCCAAGCGGCCCCAGAGTGCCCCAGGTAGCATTAGGTGCTACCAGCCACAACAGGGATGTATTTTCTGTCATCCTCATTCCTCTCACTGCTCCCCACCAGGATGTGGATAAGTGTAAGAAATGGTTAAAAGTCACAGCAGCAGAGTGAAATAAACGAACAGCTGGAGCTCAGCCTGGAGTGGCCCAGATCACAGCCCCAAGTCCTAGGAAGGAAAACAGGGACCCAGTGCTGTTTCCCAGGAGGCAGATGTGCCAAGAATTACACTATCCCTTAGGGCTGCCTTTTCGCTGCAGCAGATTGCAGTCTGGCAGATGTCCTGGGCAACCAGAAGCTGTTCAAGCTATCAGCATGGAGGGCTTAGCAGTGGAAAATGTTTTCTTGTAGCAACTGTGCCTTTCCCCTGTCACATAACCGGAGAACCATGCTGTGTTTGGAGCTGGGGAGCATGCAGTGTGCTCTGCAGTTAGCTGAGAGCTTTGGCCTGTTGACTCCTGCAGGATTAAATCGTTACTGATGGCCTGAGTCATGTGCTGTCTCAGAGTATATAATGACTCACAAAGAGAAACAAATTACTGTAATTTAGGATGTTTTAATTTCAGTGCCAGAATTAGAACAATTCATTCCATTTCAATTGAAAACAGAAGAGACAGGGCGTGGGTTTTCATTTTGCAAGGTCTTTAAGCATCTTCTGTTAGTAGTCACAATTTGCAAGGAAAAACACAAAGCACTGTTAGAAAAGCACTTGAAAACTCTATGTGGGCCCATTCTCTTTGCCCAGATTGCAGGAAATGTACTCCTGCTATTTCAGAAGAATGCAGGAGCATGGAGTCTCCTCACGGCCAAACATGGATCTTTTGAGATGCAGAGGGCTCATTTCTGGCTTTTCTACAGGGGAATAAATGATTAAATGAATTCTAAGAGAAACAAGGCTGTCTGCGTGCACAGAGTTGCAGCAAAGTAGATCTGTGGAGATCTTACCATATCTGAATGAGCAGTGTTTTTCTGCAAGAAATTTCTCCATCACTGCGTAACTTGTGAATGCAGTCAGTGTATGAAGGATACTCAAGTAAATAATACACAAAAATGTGGTGAAAGTTCCTTGCTACTTTTTACACCAGTTGCTACCGGTTAAATGTTATGATGTCTGGCTTTCCCCTCATTGCCTCTCCCCCCAGTGTTTACTGAAGTTTTGCACCAAAATTGAGGGCTCACCCTGAAGTTGTAAAAAGACAAGGAAATGAAAGGAAAGGTTAACAGAAATGCCAGACTTATTTGCCCAGACTTAAGAATCTGCCTGTAGAATAATTGGCCTCAAATTGTTTATCGTCAGAGAAGAGGAAAATCCACCTCATTTTGAGGCAGGTATACCACACAACTGACTATTATGGAGATGCCTATTTCTCCTAATTGGCTCCAAACAAAGGCTGGAAAGTCTCATTCAAAAGTAGATAATTATGGTTTTGATATTTGAAGGTATTTGAGACAAATTCCATTTAGCAGTCTGTTCCCCCATCCCCCAATCTTCATCTCTTTGCACATCACATGTCAATATCACCAGTCTAATTGCTGTGCAGTGCAGAAAATGAAGGATGTGTCTGTTCCAAAATGAAGGGCAGTCTTGCTGCAGTATTCAGTCAGTGCCACAAGGATTCCTTTTGTGGCCCATCATACTGGCTGTGCTCCTTCTGTGCCTTCTTCCTACCTCGTTCACAGTCTTGAAAAATTTATCACAATCCAGTCTAGGGGAAATTGCAATATATCAAGCTATTAAGCTGTTTTACACTAATCTACCGTTTTCATCCTTGCCTTTGATGCTCAGTGAAAAACAGTTTTAGCTGGCCCTGTATTTTACTATTTTTCTTCACATTAATGAATATCATCTGGTTGCAGTGGCAAAATCCAAAACATGTTTGAATTAACTGAACATAAAATGCGACTGATTCAGACTTAGATGCATTTACATAAATATTTTTTATGTATATAATGCATATATGTATGTGTATATATATAACCCTGAAAGTCAAATGCACTTGATTCTTCTCTATTAATATTCAGAAACTCTAGAGGAACATTTGTTTTATTTTCTCCTTTCAGATTGATGAATTCAATCTTTGTAGATTTTACATTGAAATCTGAGTGACAGAGTGAATTGGGCTTTACCTTTATCATGTTTCAGTTAGGTAAAATAAAGACCATTTGCAAGTCCTAGCAATACATCTTTGTTGCCAATTAAGAGTGGATGCCTATATTACGTCTAACATCTGTTCTGCTTCTGAACAAAATGGCAAAGCTTGAATTCCAGCCTCATTCTCTCTGCCGTCAGTTGCTTTCAAAGCAATTGACCTCAGGTATCTTCTGGAGATTTTCTTCTTTGTTTCTTCCCCAGTGTACTATACATCAGATCTTCTTCATCTTCCATCTTCCCAAGCCATTTTCTATGTGACATATTGAAACTCCACTCTTTCTTTCCTCCTAGGCTATTTCTTTCAGTCATTCCAAAGCTTCTGCTATCCAAACGAAAATCTCTGCTCTCTCTCTCTGAAAGTTGCCAGCTCGACATTGAGATGTCAAGCTCAGCATAGTAAAACAATACCCTTAATCTTCCTCTGACTGTTTCTTCCTTGGTATCTGTAGTATCTGTAGTCTGAATGTCTTTTGAAAGTTTTCAGTCCCACTGGTTGCTCAGGCTATTCATCTGGAATTCATTTTTTCCTTACCGTGTGTCTAGCTAGATACCAGTGCCTGTGACTTGGAAATTCTCTGCACAGTGTTGTTGACGTAGGAACATTTTTATCCATTGTGAATCAGAAATACTTTTCTTATGTTATAATGCTGTGAAATCAGTTGCAGCAACATCTATCCTTTCATCTTGCAGTTTTCCTGCTTCGAAAATCCCATCTGAAACAATGATACATTTTCTTCATCCATCACTTTAGCTAAGACTGCACTAACAAATATGCGTTTTCTGGTGTATGCCAGGATTTTTTTCACGTGGAAACAGCTTCATTCTTGAAGCCTATGCAACTTGTCCTTCCTTCAAACATACTTTTACTTTTAAAAGAGTAAAGCCATTCTTCAACCAACCCAGTCCCATGCTTTGGTTATAATCTCTTTCCATTCAGTTGTTCATGAATAGTTCCAATCTACCCAAAGACCACACATACATGGTGGTTTGGCTGAGTTCTTGCTGCCAGCTCATGTGTGGCATGTTAGTGTAACACATTCAGTGTGATGTGACTGTGCCCTTCAAGTTATTTTCACATTGTTTCAGTGTGGTATCGCGATACATCAAGGAGGCACTAATTACCAGCTGAGAGATTCAGAGCAGCTTCCTCACCTCCCTCATGTTCACATCCAGCAGTATTAATATTCCTTTTGTCAGAGCAACCTGCTCTAGATGAAGGTGTCTCTGCACATTGCAGCTGGTTAAGACCACGTGATCTTTAAACCATTCCGTGTTCTATAACCATTCTGTTATTTCTAGGAGTAAATTTACAGAACTGCTTTGCTAAGATCAGTGATTACCTTTCAGGCATCTCAGACATGGTTCCTGACTATTTAAATATGTCTGTGCATTTTTGAGTTGAAGTCACACAAATGGACTAAAGCAGCCTTTGGCAATAGCTTTCACTCCTGGGAGTGCTGATTCATAAATGCAGGTGTATGAAGCGATGACTGGACAGACACCCAGATGTCTGCCCTGGTTCTCTTATGGAGACTTCCATGCTATGACCAAGGAGAACTAAAGATATTTGGAAGCAATTTTTTAAACTGCTGTAACTTTCTTTGTGCCTTGCAAAGTCTGCTGATGATGATTTCAGGTTTCCTTACTATTCAAGACTGTAAATGTGGGGTGTTCAAGAGCTGCTTCATATGTTTTTTCAGCTCTCCCTGACATCAGATAGCAATTTGCAGACAGGAGGCTGCAAATATCCGATGGTATTAAGAACATCAGCTGTCAAGCTTCGGTCTTGTTATGACCGTGAGTCAGTACTGCATTCTCACCCTGAAATCATAGAATCATAGAATGGCCTGGGTTGAAAAGGACCTCAAAGATCATATATTTTCAAGTCCCCTGCTGTGGGCAGGGTTGCCAGTCACTGGACCAGGCTGCCCAGAGCCACATCCAACCTGGGGCTAGAAGTGCTCTTGGATGATCACTGCTTCTGAAGTGGAGTATGAGGCTGTATGTCTTGCAACGTTGTGACTGGGCAGAACTGACTAGGATTTCTCTTCCTCTGCTGACCTCTGCTGTACTGGAATCCTGGTTCCTGGGCAGTGATGGAGTGTGCCCTAGTCAGTGCCATGGGAAGGATGCTGGTGTCTTCGTGTTGTTCTGAACTCTGTTGAGCTTCCCTGATAGCAACCAAGCACTGTAGCAGTACTGGTAAATGTTAAGGTGAAGATAAGTGATTAAGGTCAATCTCTTTAATCACTTTATGAACTCACACTCTTCAGAGGTGTACCTCTTGTGGGATTTTGTGTTTTACAATCTGACTTCTACATTATTTTGAAAGTTTAAAACTACTGTTCATATGCAAATTTCCCTGCCAGTCTTCAGGGGAAGTATGTTTTGTTTTATTCTGAGCAGTTTTTTAAATGAGTGTTGTTGAAGAGCTGAGTTTCATGAAATGTGGTCTCAATTGTGTGTAGATTAATCAAAAAAAGAGAGAGAAAATATGTTTTGTTCAGGTTCTTTTTTTTTTCCTGTCCTTCTCGTTATGTGAAGGCCTGTAAATATCCAGTCTTCAGTGGGGCCAACCAGGTGTGCATATAAAGAGTATCAAGGCTGTCATTTTCAAAGGAGTAGAGAGACTTGGGTACTACTGAAATGCAGTTTACAATTCATTTAGCAGTTGGCAATTGTTGCTTTCCACTAAGTTAATATTTATTATCTATATTGTAGTTATAACAGGTGCATTTGAAATAGAGTTTTGTCCTATTAAGTGCAGGAGAAGATTGGAGAAGACTTTAGTTCAGTACTAACATTTGATTTTCAAAGAAATCCTCCTTCTATTGATATCCCCCTCCTGAGACTGTTCTTATTTTAGTTCATTTCTTTCTCTTTCTTTATTAATATCCATCTGTCTCAAGGGTTCCTCTGCTGAGAAAAGAAAAGTCACTGGTAAGCTTCCGTGCTACAATATTTAGAGCATCACAAATCACATTCATATCATGAAACACGTTTGAACATTTCCTTATGCCCCTTGCTTGAAAGAGGCTGCTTGCAAATGCATCTGTAATCCTTGGAAACATACATCAGTAAACCATGAACTATAAAAATTCTTAATGGAAAGGAAAATAGGTATCTTAGTAAAATAAGTTTCTGCAGAAGAAAAAGAGGAATTCCTTCAGACTGACTTTCTTTTGAGGCCATTATTTGCAGTTAAAAAAAGTTAAAGAACTGACAGCAAAAATACTATTCAGAGTTGCCTTCCTTTTCCTTTAATTCAGACATATTGTGATTGTTTCAGCTTGAGTGCCCTCCTTCCTCACTCTGTGACAGCTGGGAGGAATGCTATTAAGCGCAAGAATTATTTTTTTGCGTGATGATGGCATGTAGGAAAGATGATTAGGAATTAGGCTCCCACTGAGACAAGCAGGCAGGAAGGCCCAAAGAAAAACTCATTTCTTTCTTACATAGGTGCTTGGCTTTATAGAAGGAGCAAACCAGGAAAGTTTTTTACCTACGAGGTTTGTTTTAAGTCTTAGTCTTGAAATAGAGCTTTAAATCAAACCCGTGTATTAATGTGGAATAAGACTGCAGTTTCCTACACAGAGAAACTGTAGCAAACTTATTTGTTGATTTAAGAAGATGAAATGGAAAGACAACTTTTTATTAAAATGTTTTTCTATAATTATTTAGTTAGCAATGATATTGAATTTTAACCGTAGTAGTTATACAGCCATGATGCTTTGATAAGAACTTTTGCATATAACTGAAAAATAGTGAATGTATTGCCAACAGAAATCATTTGCATCTATATTAAAAGGGATAGTTAATAAATAACTAAAAACAGACATGGAGAGAAGATTGAGTGTGAAAAAATGGAGTCTTTTCCAGATTTCTATTCCTTAAATACCACTTATGCTAATCTCTGTTAAGATAAGCCAAGCAAACACTGCTTTCAAGTCAACAGTTAAGATTGTTGACTCTCCCTATTGATATATGCATCAATTAAACTTTGATAATTTTAGTTTGGTGATCAGAAACCTAGTAAAACAAACATATTAATTGTGCACACTTTGTCACAGTTTACTGTGACCATCATCATATAATTTTTGCTATGGCATCTTAGAATTAGTTCAGTACAAGATGTTTTCGTGTTTTCAAATGAGTTCTTAGATTGTTATATGGATAGTAAGAATTCCTTAGCAACAGTTTATTAACAATGTAAGTCATCATTGGAATTAGTAAAAGGTTTGAAAAAAATGTTGGATAGTATAGCTGCAAATTCATACATCAGATGCATGCCCTAATCTGAGGTGAGATGGAAATACTTTACTGATTGTGTTGGTAAGCCTTTTCCTGTTGTATCTCACAGCTCCCAACCCTCCCACCATTCGAGAAGAGCTCTGTACAGCTTCTTATGATACCATTACTGTCCACTGGACATCAGATGATGAGTTCAGCGTGGTTTCTTACGAGCTGCAGTACACCATCTTCACTGGACAAGCTAATGTTGTTAGTAAGTGAAAACCTTCTCATTTTTAATTCTGTTTCCTAGTGGTTTCTCTGCAAACTGCATTCTTTTAAATATAAAGGTACTTGTATGGCAAGAGCGAAAGAAAAACTTACTTTCTAGGAAGACATAAAGTCCAAATTTTAAATCCAAAGCAATATTCCCAATATCATAATTATAGTTCACATTGACAGGATTTGTCTCTTGTGTCATAGAGTTTTTGTAGCAGAAACAAAGACTTATTTCTGCTGTTTAGATTAGTCATACACTTGTAAAAGTGTATTGAACTGGTCATTAGTTAACACTGCAGCCACCCTGATATCTATGACATGCCTTTTGACAACAGAGCCTATGTCAGAAATACAGATTAAATCTTCCCTCTGACAGTTTGCAAGATGCTGAGCATGGGTCTCAGTACAATGAAGAGTAAGGCAGCAAACAGCGGTGGAACACCAGTTAATATGGTAACTTTGACTTATAATGGCGTTACCTAATATTTCTTGATATTTTCTATAATAGCCCATGATTATTAAATACATGCACTGTTTCGTTTCCCAGCTGAGCAAATTTGCTGATTATTCCTTGGATTGTTTTGTCATTACATAGCTATTTTTCTGAGAAAACACTCCAAGATTGCCTAATCTTCAGCTAGGAAGTCAGCATTTCTGGGTTCAGTGGATAGCAATTTTTGACTAACTATAATTTTGGAGAAATCATTTAACTTCTTCCTGTTCCCTGTATATTTAATGGAAATACAACAATTTGATGTATGGTTACTTTGTGAAGATGAAGGAGTATGAAATAAATCAAATCAATCAAAAGATGGAGTTTGTTCATTCAACACATATTTGAATTGTGAAGTTCATTGTCACAGAGGGTTGTTGATTTAAAAAAAAAAAAATAAAATACCTCTGAAAACAATGAAGTTCAGAGACTTCCTCATGGCTCAGGAAGTTCCAGAGCAGTAAGCTGCTAGAGCCTGGGAGAGTATGGTGAGAAATTATTGCTGTATGCTTTCCCTGCTACTTAACATCTTCCTAGGCATTTGCTTTTCTCTACAATCACATACCTCAACCATACACTGATCTAGGTAAAGTTTGCTTTAGATAGGTACTTCCCAGTGCAGAAGTGATTTTGTCATTACAAAATTTGTTGAGATGCTTTGATGAAGGCAAAGCTTGAAGGACATGCTTACATACTTTCTATCAGTGGTAAAATGGTATGCTGTTTGTCCTGTTCTAGTACTGAGCCAAACTCTTGTGCTAACTCCACTGCTGCTGTGAGCACCTAATTTTCTCCATCACTAAATTGGAATTAGTTTTCCAAGGCATCTGAAAGCATCTCTGAGGATTCAAATGCTGGCATTTTTAGTATTTTTAAGTTGCATACCACAAATGGTATTCGGGATTGACTGAAAAATAAAGTGGACCATTGAAAAACTGATTTATGTTTTGTTTAAACTTCCATTTACTGTTTCACTAAGCAATCTAATTTAGGGCAATGGTAAAATTTAAGAATGCTGGAAAGACCAAGTAAAATTCAATACATGTTCCTACATCTGAGCAAGGTAGATACCAAAAGTTTAATAGTAATTTGGAACACATTAGAATCAGGAAAGGAAATAAAAGCTTCCCTGTTTAATCTGTCCGTTAAGGAGACAGGACCCCATGACTTAATGCAGTGTATTGCTTGTTTCTGACCTATTTTTGTCTATGGCTTTATGCCAGAAGACTTTATGCAAGTCAGCTATTGCTTCTGTACATGAATAGAAAAGTGCCATTTCTGCACCTTTATGATACAAGGTTTTACTTCTTGCTTTAAAGTGAATAAATAGCAAGATATTTCACTCTGAGACCGAACTGTAGGTTTCCCATGTGCATGTGAAGGCTTTGATCTGCAAAACAATCAATTAGTTTTCTTTCAGAGATGCAATATGATAATTTGAGGTTATAGCATGAATTACTCAGTGTGCAATCTGAACTTTAATTGTATCATTTTGAAAAAAATGGTGCCACTAGAAGTTTGAAGAGAAAAGAAACTTTCTTTATAAAATTTTCTAAAGAGCTGAAATGAAGGAAAAAGCAATGAAAGGATTGGCTGGTGTGTTTATTTGTTTGTTTATTTAACTGCAGCTAGCTTCTACATAAATATCCTGGCTATTGGTTTCGATTTCATTGAAAGCTATAATTTAATCCAAGTTAAATCTAAGCATATAAAAGTGGATGGTTTTTCTAAATATTGTCAGACTTTCTTTGTCATTATTGAATGTGGAGTTGTATACCTTCAGTGAAAGAGTTGTATTCCTCAAGTCTAAAAGATCTGCTAAATGTCTACCCAAATTCCTAATAAAGAGGACTCTCTCAGCTCATTCCAACTTCCATTGGTACTGGAGCTTTGCCCACTAACATGATTTTACTCATAAAACTGCCTGATTGTTTTTTCACTTATCTGGATTATTTTCTTTGCCCTGTGTGAGGGTCTAAGACCATCCCTAGAATATTGGAACGTACTTCAATAGTGTGAAATAACAAAGCTATTTTCTCTGTACGTGGAATTAACATGCTCTACACTGAAATCTTGATGTTTTGATGAACTGAAGATAGTTTTTTTTTATTTAATCATGTTTAAATGGAATAGAGTTTAGATTAACACAAATTTCTTTCTATGTATACCTTTTGTATGCTGTGGCACATATGTTTTCAAATTTTCTCTGTCATATCCCCAAAAGTTTCCTTTGCTATTGTTCCCTGTAAGCAGGTAATGTAAACAGGTTCATAGATCATCTTCAGTGCTGCGTTACTATAGCTATGAGTTAGTCACGAGGCAGTAGCTATAGTACTGTATTAAGCCAACAAGCTTTTTTTCCCTTGAGACAATAGGAATCACTTTGCATACAAACCCACCTACCGTGCTAATGGAAGTTGTTATTTTGGAATCCATTTCTTAAAACCACAGAGCCAGACTGACTGCACTTTCCACTCCTCAGTAAATTTCCCCCACCAGAGGCATATATCATTCAGAGATTGCTGAGAATTCAGGAACAAAAACAAGCGATGCTATGTTTTTCTAATGTATTCTCTATCCAACATAATCAACTATATTCTTTTTTATTAACTGAAAAATTGGAGAGTTAACATTTGGTGGAGAAGGTCCAACTGGAGTATTTCATTTTGAATCCTATTTCATACAGGAAAGATTACTTCCAAATGTGGCCAAATTGCTTGGCTATTAAGTGCTTGGCAGCACTGTTCTGTGCATTAGAGCAATATAGAACTTTAGATTACGCAGCCTCTTACTAACACAGTAGTTCTCATAGCTGTATTCACACATTTGCTTTTCTGAGAGGCATCTAATACTTGCACTCTAAATGTTGTAAAGGCTTTAGAAATGACTTTGTCACTAGCTAGCTAATGTGGATTATGATTTCAATATCTCATTTCAATAAATTTTCAAGTATTTTTTGAGTTGGCATTTTTTTATCATGAAACTTTTTTTACTGTCCTGCAGGAAGTTTAAAATTTAAACATCCAGCTTTTCACTATCGGTAACAAGACACCTTCAAGAAAAACACATAAGACTCTCCAAAACACAAAAGAGTAAATAATTCTCTTTTCTGTTAAATTGAATTTATGTTAGTTAAATCAGCAAAATAGTAAAATTTGCTCTACTGAGGATGCAGTGTAGCACCAAACATTCCCTGTGTTTTGTGGTTACTTTTCCTATGAGATAGGATAAAGGTATGTTGACAAAACTGTCCTGAGATAATTAGGAGTTCATGCTTACCTGAAAGGTTTGTGATTTATCAATGAACTTTTTATCTACTATCTCTTGTCTCTTTCTGGAAGCTTTAATTTATTAAAAACAGTTTGCATATAATTTTCAAAATGTTACTGAGGTTTTCAGTGAGTATGACACAAAATGACACAAAATCAAGGCAGAAAAACTGCCTCTTAAAAAGATACAAAAAGAGCATATTTCTAGGGGAAAGAAGAAGAAATTACTGCATGTTTTGCAGAAATCCCACATATGTTTCTTCATTCACATGGGAACATTGGATGGGGGTGGAGAGCTATCTGTTGCTTTCACCTACTGTATTTGTTTTACCAATTTGAATTTGTAATAATTTATTTAAATAAAGCATTTAAACATAATTAAAATACTCAAAATATTAAATAACCTTCCCATGACTTTTGTGCTCATAGTTTTCAGGAAGATATATTTTATTAAAATCTCCCAGTGTAAATTTTAGGAGGATTAACACCTTGGGAATTTTCCCATCTGTTCTTTAAAGCACATCAACAGCCAACACCAGGGAAAAAGCTTTGCAAATTATTACCTCCAGATTCTGAGAAACTTATTTTGAAAACTCACACATCCTGTATGGGACATCACTGTGCTCACTGCACCATTCCAGGATGTAATTTGAATTCTCTACATTTTTGCAGTTTTAAAACATATCATTTTACTACCTGCATAACCCTATAAAAAAAACCCTGGGTTTTTAAAGCAAGAAACTGGAATTTTACCTGGATCAAGACTGGGTGCAATAGTAAACCCCTAGCTCTTGCTGATGCACCAGTGAGGAGACAATGTGTGCTTCACTGAGCCTGCTGCCAGCAGCAGGGAGCTGAGCATGCAAATGTTACCCCCAGATGCCCATGTTAGCAGGCAGCACTCTTACTTCCCTGATCATTCTGCCATCGTCTTTTGTATTCAGAGAAGAAAAGCTGTTCTGATAGGGCAGAACAGGAGATGAAACCTTTTGGTGTAGTGATAAAATATTCTTTCATACCTAAAAGCTTAATTTGGCTGTCACTAGTTACTATTCCCCACCCTGAAAAATTGTGGATTTCTTGTTTGATATCATCAAAAATTAATTCCCAGAATGCCTGAGTCAGTGTTCAACTAGAAACCTGTTACCAGATAGCTCACAGCCAGGAAGCACATGGACCCACTGTTATGGAGGCATGTGCAGAGCTTGTTGGAACAGCAGAGGAGCCAAGATAGACAGCATGCATTCACCAGTAGTTGTCTGGGATGCCTAAGACAAGAGGGACAAAGAAGTCCAGTGTGTTTTGTGTCTTAAAATAACAGAACCTTCCACTAGCAAATGAGCCATGTCAAACAGAGGGTTCCCACCTCTCTCTTCTGACTGTGGAGAGAGTTCAGGGTAGATAAAGTCCTAACTCATGAGCTCTGCTCTTTGTTCATTGCCAGGTGGGATGAATCTAGACCTGTGAGCATTTTGCCTTCAGGCCTCAGCAGTGAGAAGTGCATAAGATGATTGAGGTTATGGATGTACATAGCAATCTAACTACTGGCTAGGGTTTTTAATAATATAATATCTTATTCTGTATGAGACCTACAGGATAATGGATATTGTGTATGTGTAAGTCCACATACTTGTGATGAGAGAATGGATAAATGACTTTTAGCAATGCATCTGTACTTCTGCAGTCCTTCATACACATATTTAAATCCAAGTTGAGTACTTTGTTGAAGAGTGACCAGCCTCTGCAAGTTAACAGTAAAAGACAAAATAAATTTATTGTTATAAATAGAAAAATAAATTTATTGTTATAAGTTTATTGTTATTACAACAACAATAATAATATATTATACATAAATTATATATAATATAATAATAAAACAAGGAAATTATAAATATAATTATAAAAATATAAACCTAAAAAGAGTGCCCGTTAGAGAGTTATAGTGATTGATAGAATTCTAGTTGCTAGATGATCTAATAGAAATCTGGGTATTTCTTTGTCTGCAAAAGGATTTGTTTAGATATGCTCTATGTATGCTATAGCCAACAGCTTTCAAAGTGTGGACATGGAATGAGACGACTCTTCCAAGTCTACTGCCTGCATTCCCAGGAGGAATTCACATCCAGGCTGGATGTGGCTCTGGGCAGCCTGGTCTTGTGGTTGACGACCCTGCACATAGCAGGGGGATTGAAACTCGATGATCATTGTGATCCTTTTCAACCCATTCTACAATTCTATGATGATTCTATGATTCATCACTTTTACAGACTTACTGATGTTATTTATACCCCATCAGAAGCATCTAAGTTAGGGATTCCTTCCTTAGTCATTCTGGTCTCTTTCTGAAACCGGTGCTTCAGTTCACTTTATTTTAGCTTAATATTTATTGTGTGATAGCACCACTGAGCCAGGTGAATGGCCTTAGTGCAAAATCTTTATGGTAGAAAGAGTATAGCTTTACTCTAAAATCTGTGTCAAATTTTTACTGGGAAAAGTAATCACTGAAATATTTTTCACCATATTTAAATACTGCTGCTTTTATTTCCATTCTTCCTCTTAGGAAACACATTCATACCCAGCTGTTTGAAGCTATTTGAATCCTTGGTAGTTAACACAACGAGGCTACATATGTTCAGGATATTGACTGGTTGGAGAATAAGTGATATACTAGGATCTTTTTTCCACTTTAAAACAGGAAACTGCAGCAAATAAATATTTTTGTTGCAGTAAATCATACTTGCAGTTCATTTCAGTGCTAGCTAACACCAAAAAAAGTGATGTTATTGATGAGACAGAGGGACCTAGAGAAAAGTTGCATACTGTCTGTCTATCTTCACAAATTAAAAACTGGATAATGCTTACTAGATTGTAGCTTGTCAATAAGATAGTCCAAAGACACAGGTGTGTGTTCAACCTCAAGATCAGACTTCTAGGTTTCAAATTAATAAACTGGATGGATTCATCTCACTTTATTTCAGCTACCTGAAGTTAGAGATCTCACCTAAGCCTTCTCTCAGGCCATGTAAAGAGAAGCATTTTTAGGATGTTCATATCTACAGAGGTGGACTGATTCCTGGCTCACCACAGTTTACAAAACGTAGGTTAAACATTGCAGCTCTTCAGTTACATGACAAGACGATGTGAATCCCTGAAGCTGTGCCTCAATTACTTATGTACACAACGGGATGAATAACTTACTTACATCACAACAATGTCATATAATATGAGAGAACTTTGAGACTAATGTTTCATAATTTTTAGCTTGGAAATCTGGGTTTTAAATTCTATTTCTAATGACCTTTTATTGTGAAAAGTATATTCCAAATTAGGAAGGAGTCTTTTAGTTATGGCCATGAATTGTTGATGAGTCTATAAACCAGTATCACGGCACATATTCTTTAATGTTTTGTGCTAGCCTTTTAATTTTTTCATTACATAAAGATTTTATATTGGCTAAAATGTGAACTAAAAGTACTGATGGCTGCTTAAAGATTCTCTCATTGGTTTGCTGGTAAAAAAAAAAAAAAAAAAAAAAAAGATTTAAAAGCTGAAAACTAGTTTAATAGTACATTTGCATTCACAACTTTTTCCATGACCTGTCAAGGCAAAGTTTGTAAGTTTCCCCATCCAGTCATGAATTTTTACTTTGGATTTTTCATCCTAATGCATCTACACACATCCATATACTTTAATTTGCATATACCTTTTCTAGTTGTATAGCTAGAAAAAGAGATTGTGAACATCTATGTATTTCATTAACGTAAACTTAGATTTATTTCAACATTTATAACAAAAGAGTTACCAGACTGAGGATCCATTAGACTAGGAGATGTTCAAAATGTACAGTGAATAATACAGATGATTCACTGACATGAAAGTTACAGAATCTTAGAATCATAGAATAGCTTAGGTTGTAGAACCATAGAATCATAGGTTGGAAAAGACCTTAAAGATCCATCAAGTCCAACCACAACCTAACCATGCTGTCCTAACTCTAACAGCCCTCCACTAAATCATGTCCCTGAGCACCACATCCAAATGGTTTTTAAACACATCCAGGGATGGTGATTCAACCACCTCCCTAGGCATCCTATTCCAGTGCTTAACAACCCTTTCAGTAAAGAAGTTTTTCCTGATAGCCAGGAAATGAGGCTGTCCCTCATTACCCTGGTGCAACTTGAGGCCATTTCCCTCGTCCCATATCACCTGTCACCGGTGAGAAGAGACCAACCTCGCTCACTCTCTTCACAAGCCTTGTTGCCCTACTTTGGACCTACTCCAGCACCTCAATGTCCTTTTAGCACCTTCTGTCCTTTCTGAGGTGCCCAAAACTGAACACAGTACTCAAGGTGAGATCTCACCAGTGCCAAGTACAGGGACAGGATGACTTCCCTAGTCCTGCTCACCACACCATTCCTGATACAAGCCAGGATGCCATTGGCTTTCTTGGCCACCTGGGCACACTGCTGGCTCATACTCAGCTGACTGTCTATCAGTACACCAATGTCCCTTTCCATCAGGCAGCTTTCCAGCCACTCCTCCCCAAGCCTGTAGGGTTGCAGAACCCAACACTTGAACCTATTGAAATTCTTATGGTTTATATGACAGTAGGAAAGATATATGCAGTGGTATCAGTACATACTTATGGACTGTTCTCCTATTTTGCAGATCATATTGCAGATTATGTTTTATTTATATCCTACATGTTATACTTGTGTGATAGGAAGTAAACATATCTGAACGGGTGTATTTCTGAATAGAAAATTAACTAGCTCTTCCCCAGCTGACATCTAACCATGAGAATAGAAGTCAAAAAGTTGCATCAATAAAACTTACTTGTTAAGTTATATCCTGGCAAAGTCTGGAGTGTAGAAGCTGAAGCTTGCTCTGGTGATCACTTTTTACCTAGTTTGGCTTCCCATGATTTGCTTCAGGTCTTGAAGAATGCATGTCTGTCAGAAAAGGTCCCACAACCCTCCTAGCATTACTGCTTATGTTAGTTTTTTGAAGCTTGCCCTGAGTTAATTAATCCAAAAGGTATATTATAGGATCTCCATATTACTCGATCCTTAAGAAATAAAGAATTCCTTGTGTTACGATATGAAAATTCCCAGACTGCTCATGCCTCCAGTGAGTCTTTTCTTAAATGCCTATTCTTTATGGTCAATTTCATATAGCAAGAAGTTAAAAGGTACTTTGGCTGAAGGCTGGTGAAATGCCTTAGTAGAATTAATTAGCAACCAAGTGAATAAAATAGTACTTTAAAAGGTAGAGAAGCGAATTTTTTGTCAGTGATTGGATGTTCAGGAGTGCTTTAAATGTTCCCCTCTTACAAAATGTCATGTATGTTATGACTAATGTGCTTGGTTTGAAATTGCAGGTTTATGTAACTCAGCCGACAGCTGGATGATTGTTCCCAATATCAAACAAAACCACTACACCGTGCATGGGTTACAGAGTGGCACAAAGTACATCTTCATTGTTAAGGCCATTAATCAGGCTGGCAGCAGAAGCAGCGAGCCAGGCAAGCTCAAGACAAACAGTGAGTAACATGAAATCCAGCACACACACTCTTCTCCTTTTTAGGTTTGGTCTTTGAAAGACACATGAGTGTAGAGCAGATTAACTTACAGTGCTTCCCACAGTGAAAGCCACTTATTTAATTTGATTCAAGATTGCCAGTGTCTCTGCTACTGCAGAAATTACTTTCTGTTGAGAGAAGCATCTGTACTTTGGTCACTGGAAATAACATTTAGGAACAGAGCTTTCATATATGAAATGATTGAAAATATTATTTTGTGGCTTGTTTTAGTGTCCTATCTATTCTTTTTCCTCTACAAAGTAAAACCTTTCCTTATGTTTGCAATAAAACATTTTACTTTTGTATCGTGTTCATAAGATAATTGCTACTTTAATTTTGTTCTCCAGAATGATCTCTTTTGTAGGACACTGGAAAACTTCTTTAGCTCCATTCCCCTCATTTTTTTATAGTGTTCAGTGAGGTGGTAGAGTAGTTAGAGATCCCACTTCAAAAAAAAAAATGGTTGCACAAATTATTAGCAGATGTAGTATGGTAATTTTAAGGCTGGTTTTCAGCCTTTTTCTTGTGTCCTGGCCAACCCCTCAGTCCCGGTAGTCATCATAAACAGCTTTGATCATGGGAAATTGAACACTCTCTAAAACCTGCTTATTGAGGGGTAGGATGCTCAAAGGGGGTTGATAAATCAGTGTTGCAAGAAGGAGGGCAGACAGAATGGCACGTACCAGTTTGGAGTCTGCTATTTACCTGGTTTGCATTCCTGTGTAAGAGCTGCTTGTACAAACCACGTATCTTGCTACCAAGCATTTGGTAACACACAAGAGGACCCATTGGAAATGACAATCTTTCATCCCTTTCTCTTTTTGTGACCCAGTGTGGCACAAAAGCAACCTCTCAGGTGACTGTGAGAATGGGTCTATGCAGATAAAAGTTCAGTACAGAGAAAGATATCCTTCAGATTCTATTTCAGCGATACAAAGGCTACTAACCAGTTAAGGAGGCAGCTTGTAGATGTTTTACTCCTTTCCAATAGTAAGAAAAAGATTTCAAAATGCACTCCCAAATAATATTCAGTGTATTTATTTCATACTTAAGCATAATGCACGAATAAATACATATTGTGAAAGGTAGATTATAACTTCAGAAATACTTCTTATCTAATTTTTCACTTACCTATAGTAATGTTTACTAAGAATTAGTATTGCATCCTTCATTTTCCACTTGAAATTTCTACATTTTCAGGTTTCCTGGAGATCTGAATCAATGCATATTGACTGTTCCTATTCAGAGGAATTTCATTTCTTTATATTCCCACGCTAATGCTTTCAGTTTCACTTCATGAAAAGTACTTAACTGTTCCTTCATAAACACTGAGCAATTTACATCTTATTTGAAGTTCACTTGTCAGTGCCAGAGGGTCACAACCTCATGAGAGTGCTCATGTCTATTTTCTGTGCTGCATGCAATCAAATCTTCTGCTTACATATTTCTTCCTTGATATGAAAGACAATAAGAAGGGAAAAGGGCTTTGATGGAGCCCACATAGAGTCATAGTTTTCTATCTGTATCTTTGTGGAGGTAAGCAATCACCCTGCTTATTAACATACAGAGCTCATTGATCAGAATTGTGCCAGTCTTTACATATCTACAGGGTTTGGTTTACCAAAAAATTTCCTGATATTGTCTGCAAGCACTGTGCTACAGCTGAAGAGACTTGCCAAGATCAACATTCTCAGCAATGTTTTTACACCATAATATCTGGACCAAGTTATAGTTCACTTCCTTCTTTTTAATGCATGATATCCAACAGTACAGCACCGCATAGGCATCCTTCCAAAACTGATCCTGAATTGTTGACTGTGCTTGTTATAAATAAAGCTGTGAGTGAAGGAACAGACAAGGCTAATGCTTTTTCTTACTTTCAAATTCATTTTGTGGGATTTGAAAATACACTTTTTTTGTAGCAATGATGAAAATGTTATTATGGAACTTTATCTCAAGGGAATTAATAGAATGTAACATTCTAAATCTAATATGCTGTGAAAAAAGCAACCCTCGGACCTTTATTAATATGTATATTGGTTTCAATTACATGCAAGAATTAGAGTGTTCAGGTTACCTCTAGGTCAGAGATAATGGGTATGATGATTATGCAAAGCTCTTTTCAGAGATTATCAACACAGGGATGTTAGTGCACAATGAGATTGACAGTGAACTGGCAGTGCAAACCAGCTAGTGCAGAGTGCAAAATCAGTCTGTCTTGAGAACACTTCAGAGAAGGAGTTTAATATGATTATGTAATCTTGTATGCTTCTTTCTTATGCTTTCTATCAACTCCTTTTTTTAAAATTAAAGACAAATTGTTCTCCTGCTACCTTTGTCTTTGCATATCTAGGTCAGCCATTTAAACTGGACCCCAAATCTGCTCATAGAAAACTGAAAGTATCTCATGACAACCTGACAGTGGAACGTGATGAAACCTCCTCCAAAAAGAGTCATACACCAGAGCGATTCACGAGCCAAGGGAGCTACGGAGTAGCTGGCAATGTGTTCATTGACAGCGGACGGCATTACTGGGAAGTGGTTATAAGCGGCAGTACGTGGTATGTATATAAAAATATATATGAGAATTTGGTTCACACCAAAGGCCCATAAAGGCCTCAGCACTGTTCCTCTGATGGAGATCAATAACTGAGACCTGAGGAATGGTTCAAAAGCAAGACAAGCATATACTTTTACAGTTTGTCAGACTATTTTCCCTAACTCCAGCACTTTCAGACTTTGGAATTTATTCTGCCAGGTAGAGCATCCTTATATTTAGCAACCTACACAGAACTTTGCCTTTGTTACTGAGGCTGATTGGTTTTTAAACCTACATAAAATACATTTTAAGATTTTAGTGTAACGGACAGCTAAGAAATTTCATCTTGTTTCTGTAACAGAGTGAACTTAGTACGTGTGATATCTCTTTACTAAATATGAAAGATGTTACTGCCCTTCTGTTTTGCCCCTTCAGAGCAAAACAGAAACAGAATATGAGGCTAATTAGACGATCCAACTTCACAGTGGTGGAAGTTCTGAGGAAAGGGTGAGGAGCAGTAGTGCTAGGTCTGTGCCCCAGGGTTTGAAGGTAGAGACAACAAATGAAAGAGTGTATTTATTTGTTCCTGAATGATCCTCTACGCAACAGAGGGCTGGGTTTCAAGGTCCCTTTAGTCAGTAGAAGTGATGTTATCCTTTGAGATTCAAAGGCAGTAGTCTTGATGGAACGTAATGGAGCAGAAAATCAGTGAGGTCTTCAGATATGCCCACTGTCTCAAACAAGAAAAATGTTATGTGCTTGTGCCAACTCCAAGGCATGAAAGCACAATAACTTGTGGCACATTAATCTCTGTTGGTTGAAAGCTCAACAACATATAACAACAAATACTTTAGTGTTTCTAAAACGTGAGGAACTTTAGCATTTCTTTAATATATGAGAAATCAGGTACTTGTCCTTTTACCTTGCACATCTTGCCATAAATCATGGTTTGCAGAGCGAATGTCTTTACCTACAAATGCTTCACTTGGCCCAATACCCAGTCCAAAAAATGCTCATTTGAATCTAAAAACCACACCAACATCTGGCAAAACAGATTTGGGAATGGCATTTTTTTTTTTTTTAACATGTCTTTTGATGTTGATTCCTGTGTTCCTCCTTCTGGTCCATATATTATAGGAGCAACGAGAGATCAGATTAGATGACAGACAGCAAAGTACTTTAAAATCAATGAATCCCTCTGTGTTCATCTGTTTCGAAGTGGAAATATGAGGCTCAGTGATTTAAACCCTAAGTTCCTGAGTACTCAACAGTTTTCCCTTTGAATACCAGAGATATGTGCTCCAAAAAATTACCATAGCAGCCAAGCTACAAACAATGCGAAGAACAATAAAGTTTCTCTGACTTCTCAGAATGAAAAGAGATGGGAAAAACATAAATTAACTCCGTGCCAAGATTATGTTGCAACTTCACTTACTTAGAATTCAGTCAGCACAAATAAGAAACCAAGGCCTCAGTGATTCCTTTGGGCTAACACTCTGACACACAGGCATGGCAAGAGGCACTTGCTTTCCAGAGCTGTGTTTGTTTTACAGGTATGCCATTGGTATTTCATACAAGTCAGCACCGAAGCATGAGTGGATTGGGAAGAACTCTGCCTCTTGGGTGCTGTGCCGCTGCAACAACACATGGGTGGTGAGACACAACAGCAAAGAAATCCCAATAGAGCCTGCGCCTCATCTCCGCCGGGTCGGCATTTTGCTGGACTACGACAATGGTTCTCTTGCATTTTATGATGCCTTGAACTCCCTGCACCTTTACACCTTTGACATTACATTTGGGCAGCCCGTATGCCCCACATTCACTGTGTGGAATAAGTGTTTGACCATTATAACAGGCTTGCCCATCCCTGATCACTTAGACTCCTCTGAGCAGCTGGCATGACTGTTAAAAGCTAACAGATAGGAGGATGTGTTTCCCAGGGCAGCTGCCTGCAGGAGCTCTCCTGGAGCTGTTGGACTGTGTGGCATCTCAGTTGTTGCTGCCAAAACCAGCCAGAACCGAAAAGGGGTGGATCTCTCTTTTCTGAGTACTTTATGCAGGACAAAAAGTTGCTTTAATAATACCTTAGAATTCTTTTTGCAGTTGCTTTTGTTTTGTTTTGCATTTAGTCCCTTTCAGGAAGATTTATAAATTATTTATAAAAAAAAAAAAAAAGAAAAGAAAAAGAAAAAGAAGAAGAAAGGGGGGAGAGAGAGAAGAGAAAGCCTGCTTTGGATACCTGAAAAATGACTTATTTGTTTTGCACATCGATGGTCACATTCATTAAAGTTTCATCAGCTCGTTACATTATTTTATTTTACAGTGGATAAAGGCAGGAAATTGGAAGGATAAAAGTGTGCAGTGGTGGACAAGTCAGTATACTGCTGATTTTATTCATGCCAATTTTAGTAATCATTACTGATCTGATTGAATGCAAAATCTCATAATTTCTACCTTGCACATGGGAATGTGCAGACCAAAAAGAATGAAAATAAACAAGTAAAGAGGTGTAGCTAGCCAACACAGCAAAAGAAAGTTTAATTTACTTCTGTTCACAGGGCAGTGTGTTCTCTGTTTGCAAAACACATGTGGAGTATCTTCTAGAAATGTGAGTGCATAAATCATGTGGTGATTTATTTTATTGATGACAACGTTCCCATCTGTCAGTTTCACTTTCGTCTTTGGGAAACACTGTAGAATCATTGAGGACGTTAAAGACTGATGCCATCTCTTAAATGGCAGCGCTGGAGGAGACGAGCCACCCCAAGGTCTGACTGTAGACTAATTTGACAAAACACTGCAACATTTAAGGTTTGATTGTAATGGAAGACATCGCGTTTCTGATGGTAGACACATGAATGCTTATTGCTGATTTTACAAGATTCAACACAGCAAGCCCAGCCAATAACTCGGAAGTGAGACATGAGCCACCTTACCATTGGCTTTAAATTAAATACAAATGTTTCATTGTTGTACATTATGTAGTAATAACAAAGCAAGGAAATCTGTTTTGCATGAGCTGTATGGAGAAACATTGCAGCTGGAGTTTGTTCATAATTATAATTGTCTTGAGTTGCTTGGGAAAGAACAGTTCTCTTTGTGAATGAGCACTAAATAACAAATTTTCAGGAATAGTAGAAATCTGCACAGGCAGGCTCTACATTCATGTAGGTGTTGGTGGATGAACTTCAATGAAGTCAATAGAAGTTGCACCTGTTTTATCTCAAAGCTGAATCAGGTGCATTTTTTTCACTTTTCCTTCTACGAGGTAGAAGTCCTTTGTAATTACTACAGTACTTGTTTATAAATGGTCATTTTGGGAGATGTTTGAGGCACATGACAACTTCAAAAGAATGGTCTTCTTACAGCATTTTATTGTTTAAGTAGTAAAAATCTGCCTGTGTGGAAGGAGTATAAATTGAATACCAACTTTAAGAAAATATTTGTTCAGTAGCTTATAACCATGCTTAGGTGTCTTTTGAAAAGGATACCCTAATGCACTTTGTTCACTTAATGGGTCCAAAATAAAATGGTCCCAAACTCAGCTTCAGATTTTTTAAATATTGATTCTGCGGGTACAAAGCTGTACTACAGTTTGCCTTATGATGATGTAGAAAACATATGAACTTGGTAATGAATACATACACGCATACAGAGTTTGATTTTTCTTTTTTTTAATAGGAAATAAATGTCAGTCTTTGTTCATTTGGTTTCCCTTTACATGCTCTACTAGCTGATTACTCAAATGGAGAAAAGTGTGACAGTACATTGCTGGTAACGTAAAAGGCTTTTTGCCATGACAGTATCCCATGGTTCAAAGGCAAGAACCACCAATTTTTCCAGAGTTGACATAAATACAGGAAAGTACGTACAGACAGTGTCAGTGTACTGCACTGTTTATTGTTGTGTCTTAAGTAGCAAAGAAAAGAACATGCTCAAAAATGAAAAAGTAAATAAATCCTCAAATATTACATTTTGTATCTGAGTACATTGCTACCAGTACAGCCTGTTGCACATCTGGATGATTTGGCCTGGAATGTTTGGAAGATAGCTGAGATGGCATGAAAATTATTACAGTGAGTTGACAGGAGATGAGTGATGAGAAGCAATGATAAAAATGTACAGGACGAAGGGACTCTTAATGTAGGATTTTTGCCAAGTTTCTGCCCAACAGGAAAGTGTATTACTACAGTACATGTAGCAAGGCTGTGTGCCTCCTCTTTCCCTAGAAATATTAAGTCTAGAAGCTGATTTTATAGTGAACAAATTGAAAACACTCTTCAGTGTTTGGCCATACAAAGTTAGAAGTGATTGAGCTGGATGTAGTTAACACCATGAATTTGGAAAGATCTCCAGTGATCTCACGTATTTTCATTTTAAAGACACTGTATTCAAAGGCAGGTCATGGTTTTGGTGAAAGTGAAAAATGAATGGTCTTTTATCTGTATGCCTTTCTGTATTATTTATATTTTAACACAGAATACTTCATTTGGAGCTAGGCCACATTGCTGCATTGGACTGTGAGTTCAGTGAGTACACTCTGTGTGTATATGTTTGTGTATATGTGTATACGTATGTATATGCATGCATGTATGTATGGGTATACACACAACAGTATATGGGCAGATATAGTGCAATGTGTGTATATACATACGTACATATATACACAGAATGATACTAATTAGGTGCTCTTTTTTGCTTGTTTCTTGAATTATTTCATATTCTGTATGACTATGAGGAAACAAGTTGCTATGAATGGTATTCATCTGGACATTTTTTAACAAACAAAATCTGTTCATGCTTGATAAATCAATAAAAGCATCCATTCAAAACTGTAGCTTCTGTGGTCTGTGACATTTTGCATGGTCCATAGGAATCTATTGAAATCTGGGGGAATGGGATCTTTGTGTAAAGATAAAGCATGCTATTTTTATAAAAAGTAGTCTTAGCTGAAGGTTTTTCCCTGAGATTAGAAAGTTTTGTAACTGGGAATAAGCTAACACTTTATAATGCCATTTTTTTTTTGTGGAGTAGTCTGCTGAGATGCAAACAGTGAATGTAATAGGTGAAGCCTATGTTGGTATAATGATTGTTCCAAGGATATATTTCAAAAGCCAGACTGTATTCATCAGTTAGAGACTTCCTTTGAAGATGGTAGCATCATCTCAGAGTTGTTTAAGCTCTTGTCTAACTTGAAGTAATGTTGTGGATGGGAAACTTTTCCTTTCTGAGACCAGATAAGACTTTCCTTATGTTAGGCTCCCATATGTTAATGCACATCTGACAGGGAAAAAATTATTTAGAAGTAGGCTGTATGTCATAAATTATTTAGTAGTCTGTCTTGATTCATTGTAGATTCCTACTGTTGGCTTTCAGAGAACAAGCAGAGAGCTGAAGTTACTGCATTTTCTGTCATATGTCTATTCTTTGTCTGTCTTGGGCATCCATTTCTCAGTTGCCCATAGGACAGACCTCCACTAAGCAGTGGGTCCCAAATGTAGGAAGCATAAAAATCCCTCACTGGATACTCTGTGTAAAGCTGGAAATTGGCAAAATACCGATGAAAGCTCGTATGCGTTCTTCCTTATAGTAGCAATGATAGGTCACTGAACAGCAGTGTGCATGATTTGTTCTGACTCTTGAGTGAGAAGGCTGTGTTCTCTCTGTGTTAGAAAACATAACAGGACACTATTGATGGAACAAATTAAAGTGTCAGATCTTTAATGAGTTGACTGTGAGATGGCCAGCGTTTATTGCACTATGAAGAAATATTGGCTGTGGAAGATTTCTTGACAATTATTTGACATTGGAGACAGTATTTCATTTGTAATTATTCGGATAAAATAGATGTCTAGTAGTTCCCAGTTCTGCTGTTAGTTACGATAGCACAAATTCCAGATCAGCCCACCCACAAATACAAAGTGAGAATTGTTGCTAGCTCTTATCTGCTATTGGTTTTAATTGAAAAATGTCTTCATTTCTGTGTTAGGAGTGAAAAAGATTTGGATCCACACACTTGCTATCTCACGCAGGGCATGCCTGGCCTTAAGGCCATTGTTGGGCAGTCTTGGGAAGCTAGTAGCTTATCATTTTATGTGATCCATCTGTATTTATTGTGTAACTAAGTACTGGCATCTTATGCTTGATATAGTTCCTTTCCTAAATGTTAGAATTCCCACATTTGGTCAGAATAATTATTTATTTATTCTGTCTTTACTATTCATAGTATTCATAGTAATCTCTCCTCCTTGTGCTGTGCTTCCTAGGCCTGTCTAATTGAATTGAGTGCTGTTTCCATAGATCAACTTTTGTCTGGTCATGGTTTGAAGGGTGAAACGTAAATGACACCAGGTTGACCAACCAGTCAATTTTCCCAATTGTAGCTAAGCCTTCAGCAATGTCATTCTTACTGAGCTTGTTGTAATTGACTGCCAAACTGTGAGTCACGTGGCCTGCAGATTTATTTAGATTATGGTTTTGTCTTGACTTTTGTGTTTGTTTCTGGATGTTCAGGGGGCATTAAGCTTTTTCAGTCAATCAGCAGAGAGATGCGTAAAAACATTATGCCTCATGTTTTCAAGTGTTTTATGCAGTTTTCCATTTTGTGATGTTAAGATCTATATCTCATAAAGATAAGTTAAAACACATGCATAGGTTGCTTATGTATTGATGTAATGTCAAATGTCTCATAACACCATCTCTAATGTCTCTTCACACGCTGATTTTTCCCACAGTGGAAATGTGTATGCAGATACAGGAACGTGATGTGCAGTATTTTCCTGTATTATTGGGCTGATTGCCCATTTAGAAATTAAGATCTTCAGCACAATGAAGAACTTTGGTCTTAATCTTTGTCTTTTCCCCAGGGAGGAAAGCACAACTAGTTTCCAAGTGCTGATGGTGGGTCTTCCAGATTACACTGTGCTGTTTGTCTTTATTGTACTTTCTAAAGTGAAACAAACTCTTTCCACTTTAACCTTTGATTTAGCATTGGGTTTTCATATGAAAAATAGTAAGAGATTAAAGAGCAGTAGCTGTAAGTGCTTTAGTGTGGTGACACTCAAGATTTGGGCCATGAGGTGTAAGACATCCATGTACGTTAATCTTTGTACAGAGTGATACGAGCTTGAATA